CGAATTATTTTAAATATATTTTTCCCGCAATATTTCAAACACCCCTTTTCAACAGCCATGGCTGTTTCTGAAAGGTTGCAAACCTTTTCAGAAACATTGCCATCAACTCTATAAATAGAGTTTGAATCCCAGAATCTTTCCATACGAAATTTTTTGAGCTTCTTCTTCTTCTTCTTTTGCACAATATTTTTCAGTGTGTTTTACGACCATTGAGTGGTTCGCAGTTCATCAGAGTTTTGGTACCTATACACTGGTGAGTTAAATCGTTCTATCCTGGGAGGATATATTCCAGCACCTCGAGTACTTGAGGGGAATAATTTTCTTAAGGACACATTGTGTATTCATTGGGCTTGATTTATTCCTATACTGTTTTCTTGTTTTCCAGAATCTATTTCGTTAAACAAGTATTACTAACTTTCTATTTTATTTTTTCAGAAAGTTTAATTGTTTATTATAGCAATACAAAATAATAACAATCTCTCAAGATAGAAAAGAATAAAGATAGTGCAATGGATTCTTTAGACTGTCAATGATTTCTTGAAATTAGTAATTTGACTACGAAAAAGCCTTTAAGATCATATGTGAAGGTCACTTTCGACATTTAAAAAATATGTATCAAACTCTTTTTTTTTTTTTTACCAGTGATTAAAGACCGGGGGCTTCATTTCTCATTTAAAATATGAAGGGAACATATTCCAAAATCCAAATGGTTAGGGGGTCAAGTGAAATTTATTGAATTGTATATACAAATCTCAACATCTAATGTGTTTGGTATGAAGGAGTTCATCATTTTTAGAAATGTTTTCCTATCAAATATTTTCCATTTAAAATATTTTAATTCTGATGTTTGGCTGATGGCAAGTGGAAAATATTTTTCAATAAAAAATATGTTTAAGATTAATAATAATATTAGCAAATTAAATTAGATAGCGTTTTGATAAAAACGTTAGAACTAAAGATCAACAATAATGTCTAAATCTTAGTTAGAATAATACTCCATCCGGTCCACAATAAATGATTTTTTGGCCCTTTTTTTGTGGTTCAAAATAAGTGATTTTTCCAGATTTCAAGAATGAATTAATTATTTTTTCCTACATTGCCCTTGGAGTAAATAATGTTGGAGTATGTGTTAGGGGTGTTTATGTGAAGCGATAATAAAGGTTAATATGGTCAATTTCATTGCTAATTAATGTTAAAAGGTGAATTTTTTAATATGTGTCAAAACATCCAAAAAATTACTTATTGTGGACCGGAGGAAGTAAATATGAAGTTAAAAGTTATGATAGTTGTAAAACAAATGATTTTTGCTCATAAGTGAGAAAAGTCACTTATTCCTCATGGAAAACATTTTCGGGAAACAAAATTACTTCCGGTATATCAAACACAATAAAAATTTATGAATTAGTGTATTAAATTTTAATATAGAAGAGCCATTTGTTAACAGTTGTTTACTCATCATCTAGCCAGTTCAACTCCTGCGCGTGTTTTACTTTCTTTCTACAAAACTTATTAATTTTAAATGATCTAGAAATAGGCGAATTTGAATAGAAGTTAGTCCTTAGACTCGGTTCACAAATTTCCCACTTAACCTTAGTCCACTTTTGATAACATACATACCTTAAAATTAGATAAGAAACAATTAATTGTTATTTTCCTCACTTGCACTTTAGCCTTTGATTATTTTTTTTCCTCACAAGTTTTTTAGTAAGATTTGTTTTTTTATAAATACTCTCACAGATAACATACTCCAAGCAAATAAAATTTAAGTAAACAAACATGGCTAGTAGCAAATTCGGTGTCTTCACTCTCCTCTTCCTTTGTGGTACGCCTTTTAAGTTTTACCTGATATAAATCTTTCTTTTTTCATTCAATAAGTAGTTACTTCGTGAAACTTTTTGCATCAATTTACTATTTATATGTACACTTACAAGGATTATATTTTTGTTTATTGTCTTTGAAACAGTTTTCCTACTGGGAAGAAATTATGTTGAGTCTAAAGAAACCAAGTATTGTACACAAGACTGTTTGCCTAATGTGTGGTACATGACTTGTCCATCTTCGGGAAATAAGAAGCTTTATCCATTATGCATCAACTGTTGCCGAACACCAAAGGGCTGCAAACTTTTCGGTCCAAATGACTATTTGATATTGTACTGGCCGAACGTAATTGATCACTTTGAGAATTATCAAATGGGATATTACTTTACTTCTATTATATCATGGTTATAAATTATGAGCTTATGTTCACTTCCTATCTGTATTTAACTTTCGTTTGCTTCTTTCGGCAAAACTTAGAACTTTTAAATGATATAGAAATTGGAGATTTTCGGTGGAAGTTTTAGTTCTATAGAAGTTTGAGTCTGTCCACAATTCACTAACAAATTATCCACTTAACCTTGTCCATTTTGACAGATGACAACATATGCATGCATATCTTAAAATTAGATCAGAAAGAATTAATTGTTCTTTTCCTTACTTGACCTCTTGCATTTAATTCTTTTTTCCACACAAGTTTTTCAGTAAGATTTTTTTTGCTATAAATACCCCGAGAGATAACATACTCCAAGCAGATAAAGTTAAACTAAACAAGCATGGCTAATAGCAGAGTCGGTGTCCTTACTCTCCTCCTGTCTGGTATACGCCTTTCACCTAATACTGATCTTCCTTTTTAATTCAATAATTAAGAAGATACTTCATGAAATTTGTTGCATCAATTCCTTATTTGTCATGACCCAAAATCCACTATAGGTCATGATGGGGCCCAACATCGCCGTTACACAAGTCAACGGTGAACTATTTGCTTAATTATTCATTTTATTATTCTTAAAATCATAAGTCTTATTATAAGTAAAGGATTCAATGCGTTTAAAAATCATGAATACTTAAAATAATAATAAGATATAAAATATTAAATGACAATATTAAGCCGAACCATCACTAGAGTATCCCAAAACCCGGTGGCACAAGTGCATGAGCATTTACTTAAGAGTACAATAATAATACTACATCTGTCCGAAATGTAAATAAGACAGGATAGAGTAAATAGTACGATAGATATTCTGTGGGCTGCGATACGTAGCCTGGAATGCAGCTCACCAAAAGTCTCCTCGGCAATTGCGCCTACGCGCCAAGATGACCACCAAATGAACCTGTCAAATCCTGCACATTTAGTACAGAAGTATAACATGAGTACGTAAATCAACGCGTACCCAGTAAGTGTCTAGCCTAACGCCAGAGAAGTAGTGACGAGGGGTCGACATCGACGCTTACTGGAGGTCCAATAAAGCAGTATGATAAATCATAAACAGATATGAAGCACAACACTAAGAATGAGATAAAATTGTAATTTACATAACCTTCCAAAATTTCTTTTAAGGATATGAATTTCTCAATCTCGTATTCTATCTCAACAGCTCAGATATATTAAGTATCAGTAACAAACAGATAAGGAATACCATAATAAATGACAGGCATCAGTGGAAGGAAAATCTCGTGAATATCCGGACTGTTAGCGATATAACGCATGATTATACCAAGGTCGTACGGCCCGATCCAGAGTAGTATATACACTGCCGAGGGTCGACCGGCACGAACCAGAGATGCATCTCAATATATTGTCGAGGCGTTCGCCCGACTCCACAAGAAAGGAAGGAACTTATCGAATTATGAGTCACGTGCTTACAATACAAATACATGAGCATAAAGTGAATATAACCTTTACCGTTTCTTAAAAATTAACCAACAACTCAAAGTGATAAAGCTCGGCCTAATATATATATGTACTTCTAAATCAATTTCCATTATAAATTCAATTATTTAAGCTAGCAAATGGAGTTCAAATAATTCAAATATTAAATGATAAAGTCCTAAGTCTACCCGTACATAAACATGTTTTAGCTACATACGGACTCTCGTCACCTCGCGCGTATGTAGCACCCACAACTAGTAGCACATAACCATTACATCACCTAGGGGGTAGTTTTCCCCTCACAAAGTTAGATAGGAGACTTACCTCACTCCGAAGTTCCACAACCAACTCCAATGCCTCTCTAACTTCTCGACTCAAAGCCAAACATTCCGAAACTAATCAAATGATGTGCAAATCAATCAAAATATATGCCAATGTGTATAATTTAACTATTTATAATAATTTCCAACTCAGCTCGAAAAGTCAACAAAGTCAATCCTCGGGCCCACATGCTCAGATTCCGAAACTTTTCGAAAATGAACATTACCCATGACACCACGGACTCAAATATGTAATTTAATCCTAATTCCATTTCCAAAATTGTGGTCAAAATCTAAAATTACCAATTCCTAGGTTTTCTTCCAAATCCCATAATTTCAACAAAATTTCATGAATTTACAAGCCTAAATTTGTCTATTTAACTAATAACTTGTAGAAATCACTTACCTCATGATTGACGATGAAAATGGCGCTCCAAAATCGCTCTAAGGTCCGCTCCCATGGAAGAAATGAAATGAAAATGAGCCAAACTGCTGTACTTAACATAGCATTCTGCCCAGCGATTTTCCGCACCTGCGACGTCGCTTTTGCGACCAAAACATCGCTTCTGCGGAGAAGCACTGGAGGCCAGTCTTCGCACCTGCCAAAAAGGTTCCGCTTCTATGCAAACGCAGGTGCGATCCAAGCTTTCGCGTCTGCGCTGCCTTCCGCTTCTACGATCAAGGATTCCGCTTCTGCAGACGTGCAGATGCACCCAATATTCCGCTTCTTTGGCTCCCCCCTTCCAGTTCAACTTTCGCTTCTGCGAATAAAGTGCCGCATCTGCGACCAGCCCTCCGCAGATGCGGACACACCAGAACCTCTGCCATCAGCCTTAACCAAAAATGATCTAAAACGATCCGAACTCCAAAACTCATCAGAGCTACTCGGGACCCCATCCGAATATTCCAACAAGTCCTATAACATAATACGTACCTACTCGAGGCCTCAAATCATATCAAACAACGTCGAAATTGCGAATCACACCTCGAATCAAACTTATGAATTTTCAAGTCTTCCAATTTCCAAAACTCGTGCTGAAACATATCAAATCAATCCGGAATGAACCCAAATTTTGCACACAAGTCCCAACTAATATAATGAAGCTATTCCAAGGCTCGAAATCCCAAATGTACATCGATAACACCAAGGTCTAATTCAAGTCAAACTTAGGAATTTCTAAAACTTTCAAAATGCCAACTTTCTACAATAAGCACCAAAATATTTTCGGGTGACCCGATACTCCATCCGAATATACGCCCAAGTCCGAAATCATCATACGAACCTATTGGAACCTTCAAATCCCAATTCTAAGATCATTTTCTCAAAAGTCAAAACTTAGTCAACTCCTCCAACTTAAAGCTTTCGAATTGAGAATTTTCCATGTGAATCAACTCTGAACTTCCCAAAATATTCAATTCCGACAATATGTACAAGTCATGATACATGAAGTGAAGCTACTCAAGGCCTAAAACCGCCGAACGACGTGCTAAAGCTCAAAACGACCGATTGGGTCGTTAAATGCTCCCCCACTTAAATATACGTTCGTCTTCGAACGTGCCAAGAACCGTTCTAGGGTTGACAAAAAATAACTGTTTAACATCTCGGGCACCTTCCCGTGCCACCACAACCCACGTGAGTATATTAGCTCGAGCTAGATTTAAGATTCTCCCTTTTATCTTAGCCAACATGCCTTAGGACCAAATTCCAACAACCGAATTGCTCTACAAGACCTGATTGTAACATACGAACACCGTATCAATCTCCACACACTGAACCAACACACGATCAAGCACCTATGCGGATACCACACAATGCACTGCATAACTCATTTACCCATGGTAACCTCCTTCAAGCACAACAACTATAAATTCACTAACCCAATGTTCGTAGTGTACCTCATAATGCGTATAAGCCCTTATCCAACCCTAGCAGTACTACAACGATGAAAGTGACATGTAGAAGCTTATAACCACCTGCTAAATCAAAATTTCCTGGAGTTCCTCTATTTGACCAGAACCGTTACCTCATTCTGAACCGAATACTGATATTTTCTCTTTAATATACCTTACATAAATCCGTTCGCACTAATTCCAGGTCTAATAACTTCGTCTCACCCAATACAAGCTGGTCATGCAATAAGCCACCTCAAATACTGACTAAAATCTCGCATGACGCCATCATTGTGCCAACAAGCTACAGCTCGAATATGACACATAAGGAAGAACGAACTGTAGCAAAGAACTACCCAGCCCACTAAACGAATAAAAGGCCAACAGAATCTATAAACCTTTCTCGGAGACAAGAAAAATGACACACAAAAATAAGTATAGGGAAACGTACTCAACATCTGACTGTTGCTGCGTGCAACCGGATCCAAATATGACACTGTTGTGGAGTGCAACCCGATCCAAACATGACATCATTGCGGCACGCAACCCGATCCACACAACATACCCATGGCAGCGTGCCACCCGATCCAAACAATATACCCATGGCGGCGTGCCACCCAATCCACACAAAAATCAACAAGGAAACACCCATCAAGTCGTAATGCTTACACTTACTAAATGCCTGAATATCGACCACAAGCACGCCAAATGCATAATACAACCCTGGGGAGACAGATAGCGACATACGCTACAAAAACCCAAGCACGACTAAGGTACAATAAATGACCTATATCTCGAGAGCCATCTTGCTCATATAACACCACAAGCTACACGGGATCACAACACAAGTGCGAATAATCAAGTTGTATCACAACCCACGTAGCACAATAGAGTGTTACATGGAATAGATGACGTCAGGAATAACATCCAATGCCCGAAGACTCATCCGTAAGCAATGATATGCCGAATGAACACATCCGACTTGACGTAAAGCACACATTCACATTAGACCCACCAACGGACCTCAAGCCGATTCTGATCATACCATATTGGGCCAACAACCTTTCAAGGATCCAAAATGGCCCTATTCATGACACACACGAGCAGCCATCCAATCCGGAACAAACTCCCACAGTCCACAACCAAATGAATAGAGTGTCCTTTAGGCATAAACTCTCATATTAGCGATAGTACCAGAATCTCAATACTTGGTTTCAATACTTAACAATCAAGTGACTAACATGTCACACTTATATAATTTTCTAGTTTGATACGCTCCCACAACCTTCCGCACCAGGTAGCAAAGTCTGCACCTCCATATCATCAGTCAT